CCACTGAGTCACCACGTAAACTACACAGAGCCCAAGCCGGGGGTGTGAGGTGACAGTGTCACCCACTGATTCACCAGGCAAACTACACAGCGCCCAAGCCGGGAGGTGTGAGGTGCCAGTGTTACCCACTGAGTCACCACGTAAACTACACAGAGCCCAAGCCGGGGGGTGTGAGGTGCCAGTGTTACCCACTGAGTCACCACGTAAACTACACAGAGCCCAAGCCGGGGGGTGTGAGGTGTTTTAAAATAATAAAATATTAAAATATTCCAACGGTTCATCACAGTTCAACTCTGTGATCCAACACTAGAATTACCGAAATTTAAGGTGGTAGTGGGAATTGGTAAGATACTCATAAATCATTCTATTAACAATATGATATTCTGACAAATATTATGTAATTACTGTTTTTCCTTAGAATAGAACAACAGTTGGCCTTGGTCTTGGGTTTGGTTGAGAGACACCAAGATCCTGATCCAGACCAGGTAGGTGCCAAAGATACATCTGTCCCTCTGGTTGGTGTCCTGGGGCCTGTTTCTCTACATCAGTCTCACCATCTTCCCTCAGATTATTATACATAATAACGGGTTTAGTTACTTATGACAGTACAACACTTCTGGACATCGGAAATCATGTTCCACAGCTGGTTTTGGAATTCTTTAATTCCGATCTGTCATGGCCGACTGAAATACTTTGGGGCACAGACGAGGGCAAAGGACGCATGACCCCCCGGCGTCGAACAAAGAAACACCGTGGGACACGTGCCGGAGTCCGAATCAGATTGAGGAAACAGGCACATCGCCCACCACTGCCCAGCATGTTGCTCGGAAACGTCCAGTCTCTAGATAATAAACTAGATGANAAACGGAAAATGTGCCGGTAATTTTCTGCCAGTACATTTTCCGTTTTTTGACTGATTTTTTTTTTACAGTGTATACCTTTGCTAGAAGTGGGCCAGAGCCGCAAGCCATATAACAATTTTTTAATAAAGTATTTAACATGCGGTCCATCTCTGTTTTGTGACATTTAGGCCACATTTGTCTAATCACAAGTGGGCCACTTTTACGATACATCCGTTTGCCGGTGCCGGAACCGGGCCAGCATTTAACTTAAACAACAACAAACAACAATAAACCACTAAGGAACTAAACAGAGGCAGGGACTTAAATACTGAAACTAAACTGGGTAATAAGACTAACACAGGGCAAGTGAGACTAATTAGCAAAGACTGGGAAAATAGGCCACAGATGAAACTAATAATTAAATCAAGGGACTGGGAGGGGAAAACTAAGACACTGACAGAAAAAAGGAAACAGAATCTAACACGGGGGAATAAGAAAGACAGGTAAAAACACAACCAAAGCACAAAGCAAGAAACCAAAACAGAAAACAAACCACAAAATTACTGTAACTAGAAAATCTGATGAAACCGATGAAACGAAACAAAAACGGGGCAGGATTCGATCACAAGACAGAGGGGTTCACAGACAACCGCATTCTCAATGAGTTGAGCCTTGCAACCGACAGAGAGCAGGGGAAAACACAAAGACTGACAACAGTAGGGATGGGATGACCAGCTGATCCCCATCAGCGCCATAAAAGGGGGGGAGGATGTTGCCAGGTGTCAATGGCTCATGCATACGCATGAAAGTTGCTACATATTCAATGGAAGGAGACCAGAAATAGTGACATGAGTTAGCTGACACTTGGGGGCTGTGGCCTGGCTCAAGTAGATGTTAAGGATGTCTGTTAAAACATCTGTCAGTTAATCAGTACAGTACCTAAGCACAGGACCGGGAATGTTCTCAGGTCCTGCTGCTTTCCTTGGATTGACCATGACCAGGGTCTTCTGCATGTCAGCTGTAGTGATAGGAAAGACCTGCTCCCCAGATGGTTGTGGAGCTCTCACTCCATTCTGTGTGAAGAAAGCAATGCTTAAGTGCTGAAGCTTCTTCTGCTGGCCAGACTGTAATGTATGATTTCACTGCCCTAGTCTGCTTCAGAAGTGGTCTATAGGCTGGTGTTAACCCTCTGGGGTTGAGTGCGTCGTCGGCGATGCAGCGTACTTTTCGTGTCTATTTCAGTTTATATCTCGCTGAAATCTTTATGTAGAATCATAAAAAAAATGCTGGCTAAATCCGTAATCTGTATTCTTTTCAAAACGTCCATTGTCGGAAGTATTAAAGTTTGTAAAATTAAGTTAAATCGGCAAAAAAGTAAACCATGTCACCTTTCTTTGTTTTACCTGCATCGGGGGCGTGTAGTACTGCTCTCACCCGAAGATCGCTATTTACATTCTGCTACATATTCAATATTAGCCATATTAGCGCGTATTCAAATCGCATTCGCATGG